GCGCTCGCTGCCGCAGCCGCTGCCCGCTCCGCCCGGCTGGGCTGTTCTGAGCTGGGCTGGGCTTGGCTGTGCTGAGCTGGGCTGGGTCGGGCTCGGCGGCGCCTTAGCCGAGACCACCACCCAGCGGTGCGCGCTGGGACTGCGCCCGCCGCCGCCCGCTGCCCGCGCTGCCGCTCGGCCCGGCCACGGACACGCGCGCACACGCGCGGTGCCGCCGCTCGCCCGCGGCTGAGCCCGGGGCAGGACGCGCGCACATGGAAGCGGGGATGGAAGTGCCGGCAAGGGTCGGGATGAGCCATGAGAGGCCGCCGCTTGAGTTCGATAACACGGGGAGCAATGGAACGTTCCCCTCGTCTGTCCCTGTTCCCCGGTGTCCACAGCCCGCGGGAAACCGCGAGACCTCCGCACCCGGCATGCGAGTCAGTGCCTTTTGAGAAACAAAGCCATAAAAGCGGCTCAAGGCGTTTCCCAACGTAGCGTGAGGCAGAGGCTGAGCCCAGAAAGACTGAACCACCTTCCTTGAACAGACCAACCTGCCCGGAGCAGTGGCAGCGCAGCGGTAACAGCACGGGCACGGCACTAAACGCTCTATCGCCTGCATCTCCAGACTCAACACATGTACCCCCCAAACATTACCTCACTGAAAGGACACACTGAGAAAAAAACTCGAAGACTTTTGAAAAAACTTGGCAGAGCTTTCCCAGAACGCACTTGTCTACAAACACTTCTCTCCCCACACCAGGAATTAAGGTACTCTCTTTATTTCACTTTTACACATTATTTCAGTTTTTACACTCAGCGGTATCCCAGTTTACAGTGTTACAGTTTATAACTTGAGCACAACACAGCGTGAGGCTTTCTGGATATTCCATTCCTCACAGACATCATTCAAAGAATCAGTTATTAGAGATGGTGTGACAGTCGTTCTTAAAAGGAATAGGTAAGTAAATGCTCAAAGACAGTTCAGGGACTAGAAGGGAAAAGGTCAAGAGAGAATGCAAATGTGCTCATCCAAAACGGGAAAGTTATGAAGGGATAGTTTTCCACTTCGTTAAGAAGCCTCTGGATTCAGAAACAAGACTGAGGAGAAAAAATTCAATGTCCTTTTGACCAGTTAGTTAATTTTGATTCTGCCTTTAGAAAATGTTCTTTGAAGGACCTGTGGAGTTTTCATGCAATGCACCTCAAACACAACCAATATGTTTTCACAACTCTGTACAGTTACAGTCTATCCCAACACTCTTTGTGCTGCTGTGTTGCAAGGAGACAGAACACCCAACCCCCAATATAGGCCAAAGGAAGACCTTATTGTGCACTTTGCTCTCTACTCTGCAATAGAGAAGATGAGACTGATGTACTGAAAGGGTCAAAATCCCCTCCTTGCCTGCTGGGTTGGAATGGCCTGCATAGCAATGGCAGAATGGGAGCAAATCCCTAATTCANGACTTGTCTGACAGCAAGAGAGACAAGAGCTTAGCTGGGAGAGCCATTCTTAAAGGCTCTCAGGAATGGCCTTAATAAACCTGAAATATATGAATGTTTGAGAGAAAGAGCTCTGGCCCCCTTCATTCTGTTTTCTTCTTGGGTTTTAGTGGAACAAAAGCATTCCCTGATTTACAGTTTCCCGGAATGTGGTTATGGCAATTGCAAATACAGATTTCCTCTGCAGGAACCATTCCCACAGGCTGGTATCTCAGACAGAGACATTCAGAACTCAGGAAAGAAAGAGCCCTGTGCTCACACGACATTGTGACACTGCATTCAAAACTTTCCTGAGCTGGGAAAAGGTCTTGATGCAGTTCAGCGAGAATGAAATTTGTGTGCCCAACTGTTCCATTCTGTTACAGAAGAGTCTACAGTCTTATCTGACAGCACGAGAGACAAGAGCTTAGCTGGGAGAGCTAACCCCGTTCTTAAGGCATGTCAGAAATGGTTGAATGAGGTCTGAAACCTACTGCTGTCTGAGTTAAAGAGTTTTGGGTCCCTTTATTCTGTTTGCTTCTTGGTTTTTAGTGGAACACAAGCATTGCCTAACTTACAGTTTCCCAGAATTTGGTTATACCAATTGCGAATACAGATTTACTCAGCAGAAACCATTCCCACAGGCTGCAGCCTGCTTCCCTTCCTATCAGGAGGCTTGAAACCTCTGCCTGTGCAAACCCCGTGCTAGTTAAAGGAAAGTCTGTCCAACTGTTCTGCAGAGACAGTCCCAGCATTGTCTGATGTCACGTCCTCTGTGGGGACAGGGACAAGGGAAAACCTGTAAATGCACGGGCACGACATTCAACACTCTACCATCAGCATCGCCAAGCTCTAGACATATAGGGACCCGCCCAGTATTATCTCAATAAATGGACAAAACGAGAAAAAAAACTCCCAGACTTTTGAAGAACCTTGACAGACCTTTCCTGAATGAATGATTCTACAAAAGATTCTTCCACACAAGGAATTAAGATACTCTCTTTATTTCACTCTTACACATTATTTCAGTTTTTACACTCAGGCGTATCCCAGTTTAGAATGTTACACTTTAATACCTCATCACAACACAGACAGTGTGAGGCTTTCTGAATATTCCGTGCATCACATACATTACTAAAGGTATCAGTTACTATAGATAGGGTGGCAGTCCTTAAACGGAGGAGGCAAAAAAATACTCAAACCCATTTCAGGGAGTAGAAGGGAAAGGGGTCTAAAGGAGAACACAAATGCTCTAACACAAAACCAGGAAGTTATGCTGGGACAGCTTTACAGTTCAGTTCTGCTGAATTCAGGAACAAGACAAAACTCAAAGTCCCTTTCACAAGCTCATCTTAATTCAGAAAATGCTCTTTGAGGGACACGTGGAGCATTCATGCAATGCACCCAAAAACAATGAACAGGTTTTCACAACTCTGTACAGTTACAGTCCACCAGTTTGTGCTGCTGTAGTGCAAGCAGACAGAACATCCAACCCCCTTTTATCGGCAAAAGAATAGATCCTATTGTGCATTTTGTTGCTCTTCTCTGACACAAAGAAGATGAGACCTCTGTACTCAAAGGGTCAAAATACCCTCCTTGCCCGCTGAGCTGGAATTGCCTGCTTTGCAATGGCTGAATGGCAGGAATTCCCTGATTCATCGGACAACACCAGTGAACATTAGGAAAAACACAGTGGCTGTGTTGACTGACGTAGTGACAAGAAATCAAAGCCCATAGAGCCCATATATGTGAGACGAAGACACCTGAACCCAGGAAAGGAAGAGCTTGGCGCTCACATGGCCTTGTGACACTGCACTGACAATTTAATTACTTTCCTGAGCTGGGAAAAGGTCTTTGTGAGTTTCAGGGAGGATGAGGTTTGTCTGTCCCATTGTGTGTGCCATACCATTACAGAAAAGAATTAAAGGTCCACAGTCTTGTCTGACAGCAGGAGAGAAAAGAGCTTAGCTGGGAGAGCTAACAGCATTCTTAAAGCCTGTCAGAAATGGCCTTAACAGATCTGAAATATATGAATGTCTGAGTGAAAGTGCTTTGGTACCTTTAATTCAGTTTCCTTGTTGGTTTTTAGTGGAACACAAGCCTTCCGTGACTTTCAATTTGTGGGACATTGGTTATGCCAATTGCAAACACAGATTTCCTCTGCAGGAACCATTGCCACAGGCTGCAGCCTGCATCCCCTCCTATCACGACACATGAAGCCTCTGACTGTGCTGACCCCATATTAGTTAAAGGAAAGACGGTGGAACTGTTCTGCAGAGACAGTCCCAGCATCGTCCGGTGTCATGTCCTCTGTGGGGACAGGGACACAAGGGAAAACCTGTTCCTCACTGGGGCCTCCGCCCGTGGCACAGGGCTGTGGTGTCAGGCCGGGGCCGAAGGGCTTGAGGAACTTGAACTCGCTGTTGCCCGAGCCCGTGGTGAGGCTGATCTCGTAGCAGTAGGGGTGGGGCAGGGTCCCTGCAGCAGCTGCCTCGGCCAGGCCGCTGGGCAAGTTGTCGGCCCCGTAAAGCACGTGGGCANGTGCTGACCCTGTGCTAGTTAAAGGAAAGACGGTGGAACTGTTCTGCAGAGACAGTCCCAGCATCGTCCGGTGTCACGTCCTCTGTGGGGACAGGGACACAAGGGAAAACCTGTTCCTTACTGGGGCCCCCGCCCGTGGCCCAGGGCTGTGGTGTCAGGCTGGGGCCGAAGGGCTTGAGGAACTTGAACTCGCTGTTGCCCGAGCCCGTGGTGAGGCAGTGTTACAGTTTATAACTCCAGCACAACAGAGCGTGAGGTTTTCTGAATTTTCTCTGTATCACAGATGACATTCATCAATTAATATCTATAGATGGGGTGACTGTCCTTTCTAAAGGGAACAGGCAAGAAAATGCTCAAACACAGTTTGAGTAAAAGAAGAAATGGCAACATGGAGAATGCAAATACTGTCACATAAACCCAGAAAGTCATGCAGGGACAGCTTTCCACTCCCATCAAGAAGCCTCCGGATTCAGGAAAATAATGAGGAGATCAAAGTCCATGTACTTTTCACCAGTTCATTCTGGCTGTGCCTTCCGAAAATGGTCTTTCAAGGACATGTGGAGTTTTCATGCAAGTCACCCAAAGACAGTGAATATTCTTTTACAATTCTGGACAGTTACAGTCTACCCCAGTGCCACTTGTGCTGCTGTATTCCAAGGCAATCCCAAGGTGACAGAACACCCAACTCACTCTCACTGGCCAAAGGAAGATCTTGCTGCTCTGCTCTGCTCTGCCACAAAGAAGATTAGACTGCTATACTCAAGAGCTCAAAATACCCTTCTTGCCTACCTAGCTGGAAGTGCCTGGGTTGCAATGGCTAAATGGAGCAATTGCCTCATTCACCGGGCAGCACCAGCTATGAACAGACAGACATGGTGACAAGAAAGCAAAGCACACAGGGCCCAGATATCTCAGACAGAGACATCTGGAACCCAGGAAAGAAAGAGCCTGGTGCACATATGTCCTTGTGACACTGCACTGACCACTTCCTCATTTTCCTGAGCTGGGAAAAGGTCTTGGTGCATTTAAGTAAGGATGAGGATTGTCTGTCCCATTGCTTGTGCCGTACTGTGACAGAAGAGAATTAAAGGTCCACGATCTTTTCTGACTGCAAGAGAGACAGGAGCTTAGCTGGGAGATCTAACCACATTTTTAAAGCCTCTCAGGAATGGTTGAATCAGGTCTGAAACCTATTACCGTCAGAGTAAAGGCCTTTAGTTCCCTTTTTGTTTGTTTGTTTGAGGTTTCTACGGGAACAGGAGCATTTCCTGACTTACAATTTGTGGGAAATTTCTTATGTTAGTTGCAAATACAGATTTATCTTGGAGGAACCATTCCCACAGGCTGCAGCCTGCATCCCTTCCTACCATGAGGCATGAAGCCTCTGCCTGTGCTGACCCTGTGCTAGTTAAAGGAAAGACGGTGGAACTGTTCTGCAGAGACAGTCCCAG